GGCTGGGGAAAAAAAAAAAACAAGATGGTTATTCCTAATAATGCATCCATGGTTCATAATCACTGCAATCCAGTGCAGGGCTGCGTGGATGAGGCAGCAAAGGACATGAGGCAGGAGCAAAGGTACCAGTCCATCACAGGCCATATTGTCAGGGCAATTTAATGACACTGATACACCTTACTGCATTTTTTTGTACTGAAAACCTTTTGTTCCCCGGGCAGTTCTAATCCATAATGAGGACAGTGACTAGAACCTATACTTAAAAATGTCTCATAACAGCCTATATATGTCCAGCCCCATATGTATTTCCACTGTACATTTACATATGCGGTCTACCAATTTCTTCATTTGACTTTTGCACCACCTGTCACTTTACTGCAAATTGCAGACTATTTATGATTATGATTGTTGTTTAAAATTTTAACTCTTTTTTTTTATACTCATGTCTTCTGTTTACACAGTACTTAGGCAAACAAGCATTTCACTTGTACTGAGTATATGACCAATAATGCTTCATTAATATTTATTATGCTATAAGGTTTTGTTATATTTTCTTATATATACTTAAAAAATTTTTAAAAATACAGCGCTTTTGTCTCTCAAAATAGTGTCTTCTTCCAATGAATATATAAATATTGGCAGAAATATACATATACTTCAATAATAATAAACATTGGGTTACATAGATAATAAATAAAATGGACAAATGCAGCAGGATGGTTTCAGGTACAAAATTTCTACGACAGCAGTACACAAAAATAAGGTGAAGTAGGAGAAACTGGGAACGACCAGAAACCAAAGAGATAAAGGGCAGAAGCAACATTCTAATGCCAGAGATGACCGTTAACTTATCCGACATTTTCTCATGAATCGAAGGACGACATCGAGTGACCTTCAAAAGGAATGGGACATGTTAAGTGCAGGTGTGAGGTGCATTGCTAGGATGGGTTGTATCAGGCTCCTAGAAGCAGGACTGAGGTACCATAAAGCAAGGAAGAAGCCCTTTATTAATGAGAAGCAGGGAAGAACCAGGCCGCAGTTTGCAGAAAAATATATATTATTCACAGACACACACCAATAAATTGAGAAATGAGTGAAACAAAAAATTGTGCTGTAGTCTCTTATTTTTTTCCAGGGCTGTATATCTAGAACAGAATAACATAAAATATTTAACATTTTGATCATATGGAGAAAGTTTTATAATACAGGGTGATTAATAACTGCTTCATATGTATAAATTCTCTGAACTTTCAGGCATCTTGTTTTACTTTTTTCTATTACACATACTCGTCGATTGCTGGAAATTTAGATTATCAGAGCTCTTTCTTACCAGTGACCAGCTCTCATGCCCTTGTTATTCCCTGGGGTGTGACACCTTCCGATTGAAATGCTACTTAAAATTGCTGACAGTGGTGTATCCCCTTTGAAGGTCCTTGAGTGTGGTGAAATTTTGTCGTATGACACATTGTCATTGAGAACATACTTGTATGTGCACAAATGATTCAAGCAAGTACAGCTGCCTTATAAGAAACAGCTGTGAAGCCAAATGTCAGATTCCTTTCAGTTCCTAAAATGGCAGGCTATCAACCAAATGTGCAGTCATTTCATATCAGTTTATCCCACATGGATGAAAAGATTCTTGGGTTAAAGCTGATATTCTACACTTTAATCCCATAAGCAATGTGCCATTTCACATGTGTTGGAATACAGAGCCAAAGCAACAAAAGACACCTGGTGTCACCTCTGTGAGAAACAATGACTTCACCCAAATGTTTGCTGTGGATGTTTTATTGATAGTTCCCACACTAGGGCCTTGAGGAATTTTGTCCCATTTCTTCTTCCAGAACTGCTTCAATTTAGTAATGCTGGTGTGAATTCTTGTGTGAGCTCTCTGTTTCAGCTCCTGTCACAACAATTCTACTGGAGTAAAGTCTGAACTTTGACTTGGCTATAAAAATTCAATGCTACTTAGGTAGACTGATGTGTGTATTTACGGTAGTCGTCTTGCTGCAAGACCCCCCTTCTTTTCATTAATAATTACGCAGGAGTTCTATTCTTGACTAATCTGTTTCCGAAACATTCTTCCAGTTGTCTTCATCATCAGCAAATCTTCAATGGGAAGCAGTTTTCATCTTGGAGAGTAGTGGCTTCCTTCCTTACTGTCTCCCCATGCGTATTGTTATTATTCAGTATTTGAGTGGTGGACTTCTGATCACTGATATGAGTGATCCTCAGATGTTCACCTGGGGTTGTCTCAGAGTATTATGCGGCTAGCTCTTGGAGTAATTTTGATTGAATGACCACTCGTGGGGAGAGTGACAGTGGACTTGAATTTTCTCCATTTGTACACTATCTGTCTGACAGTGGACTGGTAACGAAGGCCAATGTTTTTAGAAATTGTTTTGTAGCCTTTTCCAGCTTAATGAAAATCTTCTTTTTCCGAGGCCCTCAGGAATCTCCTTTGATCAAGGCATCGAGTGAGATCCATCCTACTGATTGACACTTCTGACTCTAAATGAACTGATAATTGTAGAGGTTCACATACTTTTTTCTGGCAAAGCCATTTAATGTAAATTAATGAAAATGTATGTGTTATTTTATTTGGTTCTCCTTATTTTTATGACTCAGGTAATGATCTGATCACATTTTAGGTCAAATTTATGCAAACGTTCCAAAAATTCTAAATGGTTCACAAACTATCTAATACTACTGCATGTTTATTCAGTGTCTATGTGCAGGTATGTTAATTTTTGCAAGACTGTATCTTGTGAGAAGATTAAAAAGGAGAGAAGATGGCATTGAAGATTCATGATGACAACAAATGATTAATATTGCATCCCCCCAATCCATGCTATGAAAATACACTGCAAGAGTAATTATTCAAACAGTGTGCAGTGATTAGAGTACTCAGAGGTTCAGAGTCTTACTCACTTTGGAATCCTCAGTCTGAAATGTAGTCTCTCTTCATTCATTAATGTTACCTCTCAGACCGGAGATAATACAATAAAATTTTACTTGGCATCATTCCTGACCCCCTTACAAGTTCTGATTTTGCCACAGTGCTGTAAACAGTAGTGCCTTCAAGAATATTTGTGAGCTGTTCTCTATTGCTTTTCTACAACACATGCACACTGTTCATAGGGTATACCAAATTGCAGCACTTATCATAGTGGTTCAAGGCTCATAACCTGCCATTGCTGGATCAAATTCCAGAGGGCAGATTCTGTTGTATTTTTGATCAAGGTACTTATGTTTCCAGCTGATTATATGGGTGGGATTGGTCGGTTTGCATAAAAGCATCATCTAAAAATGAAAACCCACCCAGATATGAAAAAAATCATTTTAAATTACACATTTTCATCACAATTGCAATTTCCAGCATTAATGTTTCTAAGCTTTAGTAATGCATACTGTTATCATGCTTTAGTCCCATGTAAAGACAAAAAACATACTAAAGCATGTTAATAGGTTACCCTACATAAAGAATAGACCTTTACAATAAATCATATTTTGCATTTAACAGCAATTATGTCTTCTTAAAATATTAAGAACGTGTGCAAAGTCTAAAGTTGTTGTAAAGTTGAATTTGTATTATAAATTACAAATATAAATTGCAAAAATTACATTTAGATGAATTTATGAATTCTATAAATTGCATAGATTAATAAAATGGCCAGAGTTACAATCTGTAAAAATTTAGCAAATACAAAACAGGGAACGTCTTACACCTTATTTTCAGATAGACACACAGATTACTTCTTAATGCCTTTGTGTTTTTGGATTTCATGTACAAAATTCTAATTATTTTTCATATTCTGTTCTAGTAATTAAACAAAAGCATCATATGAATTAGAATTCTGTAGAAAGTGTATATAGCTTATTTGTAACAAATCAAAAAAAAAGTTTGCAATTCATGCTATGGTAGCATTTAATACAAATTTCTTGTACAAAATGCTTTACAATAGTATGTTAAATAACAGATTAAAGTCCTTTCTCAAACACAATTGCCAGTGTTTGCAGAATTACACCTATGCGTGTAAGGTTGTTTCTATTTAATTAGTACTTTCTTTTGAAAGTATCTTGTCATGTTATCCAATATAAAAATGTGAATTTTCAAAGTCAAACACGATTTAGTTATCTTAACATTAATATCCATTTAATTAGTATGAATAGACCTTTAACTTTAAATGTTCCTGCGATCTTTGGGTATCGGATAACACCTTCAAATTGAAATTGTGCTTCCTTAAGATTCTCCACAGTAGATGCAGACCAAAGAACTCTACTAGTTAACAGTTAAGTTAACTATGTTTAAGGAAGTCATTAAAGTTTGTTTTTAAATAAATGGGAGATTCATGAAATGAGCCCACTTATTTAAACATCTTAAATGTTTGCAGTGCCGCATAACTTTTTTGTTGTTGTAAAAGTGCTGGTTTTGTGATTATTGATGTTTCCAGACAGTGGTCATTAAACGGCGTCAGCGGCAGTTATATTTTCTGATGTTACATAAAATGATCTTTGTATCTCCATTAAACAAAACTATTCTGCTAAAGCAAAATTAAATTGCTTTATTTAATACATAGCCAGGGAGATGTACTCTTTATAAGGCATTCTGTACCAGAGTAGTTTTAAATATTATCTGAGATCTGACTTTATTCCGTTAATGCAAATGCAGCTCCGGCTTCGTTTCCTACCCCCGGTGCCTCTTTGTTCGTTTGAACTGACGCCACTTTCACTTAAATGAATACAGTTACGGGCCGTTGTCCCCTTTCATCGCAATTTGTAAAGTTCATTAATTCCCCTGCTGAATAATGACCCACTAACACGGCTCCATTCTTAATCTATTCAAGAAGGTAAACTTAAATGGTTACTATCAGTGTCTGAAGTTCCCCTTATATCGACTCAGCTGGAAGATGACGCCGCTGAATCGCACGTTTTGAAAAACATATTTATGCAAACAGAGCTTGATTACAATGTCTTCGGCAATCAACAGGAATGTACGATTTATTTCTTATTGATGGACGATACAGAGGGCTACACGGCCCTTTATTCCGTCGTATGTTGAGCAAACTAAATTAGGCAAAATAAACGTCTTAAACTCAACCATCGAGTATCCCTTTAAAATCAACTTTTAAACAGAATGTAAAATAAAAGTCTTGATACGAGAGCTACTTTATGAAATATTTAATAAATACTAGTTAAAAAACAAACAAACAATAAGTAAATAAATAGAACTCCCGGATGTGTATACATGTGACAGTGTGGATATGTATGTCTCTAGGTTTTGCATACAGTTGAAACTGTTAAAAACAATATTGTGAAGTAAGTACGACTACATCCGCAGCTTAAACTGAACTCCTTGTTTAGGGAATTGAAATACTCCACAGCTAGCAGGACAGTTTGTGAAGTTTACGTCCTTTTTGTCTGGTGTCATTAGTGCATCACTGAATTGCATCTGGTGCTCTTTCCTAAAAAGAAACAACAACAACAACAATTATTTATGAAAACAACATAGCATAAATAAAATAAAATGAACATATTCTGGTGAAGAGATGCATGTAGGCCCATACGCGATTCAATTCTTGACTAGAGGCTACCTTGTGATTACATAGGTTACAAATTGTAGTTGAATTTATGTAACTGTCAGTAATGATGGGCAAGTTAAAAGTAACAGATAATGAAAAATCAGTGTTGCAGTGTAGTTCATATGATTATGTGTTATCTATGGAAAAATATCAATGACACAATTTAATAAAATATGGTTCTTCTTTCTGAAGCTTTGTTTTGAAGATACAAATTTGTTCCTAGTTATTCCTTGCTAATAATAAAATATTTTTCCTCTGTGCATTATTTCTTAGGAATCCTGTATATTATATACTACATATGAGTATATATACTCATAGTACTCAGACTTTACAGTATACAGTACATCAGCTCTGAAGGATGCTTAAAGTAGGACACGTATTGCTGTAAATGGTGCATGTGTATTATGCAGAATTCTTGGTAATATGTGAATAAATGTTGCATTATGTCCCAATAGGAGGTCTCACCAGCTCACCTTCCTCACCTCTTCATCACCGGTCTGAAAGCAATGGTTGGGTCTTCCTGAGGCAATAGGCATGTCTGGTGCATTTCCGGTAGCACAGCCTCAGCTGACCCTCCACAAGAAAAACCTAAAACATATTTATCATTTAGCTAGTCCATTTATGCAGTGCGGGTTCATAAACTGTTTGGTAAGATTATATTTGATTAGTGACATGCAGTCAGTGCTGTCTTATGACCTTAAACATATATGTGTATAAAGTAAATATTTTTTGACAACAGTAATGCTGTTAAATGATTCAATCAGTAGGTTAAGGAAGACAACTCAAGAAAAGTTTTGCAGAGACAGACTTCCGGGAGTCCGAGAGACTTGAAATGTTTGAAGTGAGCAGAAAGATGTACCTTCAGCGGACACAAAGTGGTCCGAGAGCATGGGGTAGGAAGCACAGTGCAGCTGTGGGGGTTTCTGGTTGAAGGCAGTGCCGTGACCTTTTTTGTGTGACTGTGCATTTGGCAACTCCTGCTGACCCTTAAGTTCGGCACACTGGCCTCCTCTGGTTACTGGGACCATGGCTGGTTGTGGTGAGCAGTTGACTGCCACGTTGCTGGTGCTCAGCTCCTTGCTGGGGTGAGGGCTTCGGAGGGTGCCGCTGGCAGCCGTGTGAGCCAGCGACCAGATTCTGGGTTTTTCCGACGTCTGGAAATGCGGCGGGTCTGTGGAGATGGATCCAACTCCTGCCGGAGTCTTGACCTCCACGGACCTCATGAAGTCTGCTGCAGCCATGTGTTTTTCACTACATGCAAACATGCCAAGGTGGCTGGGAAGACCAAGCATGCCGCTACAGTCCCTCTCTGGTGGCTCCCTGGCGACTGCGTGCCGCAGGCCCCGCTCTTCGTCTGAGGCCTGGCAGTCATCATCTCCCTTACCACATCCCTCATCATCCACATCATCCTCATCACTTAGTGGAAGCTCCTTGTCCTTTGAGTCTTTTGAAGCTGCATAATGAAAAAAAAAAAAAAGTTTAAAAGAAGATGTGCAACAGAAAGGTTCAAATGCTAGGTGTTTTGCTCCGTTTTTCATGCCACACAACTAATGCAGTGTTTAAATACTTATAATTCATAAAATCAGATTATACCTTCGCCAGCACAGTTGTTGCCAATCTTCTGCACGTCGTCTTTCCCAGCATCCCCTGGTTTATTCTTAGCCAACCAGGTCATTTTGTTCTCCTTCTTTAGCCTTCTCCTGGCGTTGGCGAACCAGGTGGACACTTGAGTCAGGGTCATTTTGGTGATGATGGCCAGCATGATTTTCTCGCTCTTTGTGGGGTACGGGTTTTTGTGGTGCTCGTTAAGCCATGTCTTAAGGGTGCTGGTCGTCTCCCGTGTGGCATTCTTTCTCCGAGCCGACCCATTAAAATCAACAGCCCCGTACCTGCAAAGAGGAGCAACAAACCCGTTCCTTGATGAAGTCCTAATTTTAACCGCCGCACCTGCATTCTGAAGCACGCCGAACCATAATCTCTATACAAGATCTGGAGTATCTTGATGATTTTTGGCATACCAGTGGCAAGATTTAATTTTTGTTGCACTCTGTTATTTTTTCTTGCAGTGTTTTTTTTTTAGGTTTATGAATACTAAAGAAAATATCTGAGTTGAAGAGTTCAAGAATATGTTACCTGTCATACTGGTACTGCCCAAGCATGGGATCATAGGGGTAGTAGGCACCTGGCTGGGAGATCCTGTTGTGCAAACTGCCAGCACTGTCCTTGATATCGTACTGAGAGTTCTGAAACAGGACACGTGGATGAACGTGATTTCAGCATTGGTCTGTAGATTTCCTTTCAGTGTTTTACACTGGAATGCTGGAAAAGTGTCCTTATCTCTTGGTTGCACGTACTGAATGTATTAAATCTCTTTTGAATTAAGGGTTGGAATTCAGGTTTTTCAAGAGGCACGCTCTATGCATATGCTTAATATTCCCCGCAAATAACTTATTTGTGACTTATCCTTGTAAATGTCCATTTATTTAATTAAATAAAACACAGTCAATAAGAAAACATAATACGCGATTAATTTTGATAGTTAACTTTTTAATTTCGCAGAGAAAACTAATAACGATCTATACTGTCTATTTACGCCGCATGAAGTGACATAAATGCATCTTCATTTTGATACAAGCTATCGATCTTCCTTTGCGCATTACCTATGAACAGTAGGATATCAGTTATCGTTTAGCGTTTATCAGATTAATTTCCGTACGCACCAGTGGAGAATAGAAAGCGGAAGGGTCGGCGCTGTACTGGAGGTAGTTTGCATAGCTCTGGCTGGCAGTAGCTGAGGCTGCGTAGGGAGAGCTGTACATGCCGAGAGCCGCGTTCAGCTCTGTCCGTGTGCCGGCCAACATGCGCTTCCCGTAAGGCGGGTAACAAAACGCGGCGGCTGTCTCGGAAGCACCGGAGCCATCAGACACCGACCTGGAAATCGAATCGCAGCAAGTCGTACTGGGGTTTGCCGACACGAAAAACTGCATGAAGAGAATTTTAAATAGAAATGTAATTCTTTCAGACTACCAGCTCTGCAGTCTCCATACTATTTATATTTACTTCAAGGAACATTCAAGGTACAGGTGATTAAATTAAGCAGTTCAACAACTAATACAAATAATATTTTTACAGCATGTCAAAACACAAGACATGGGTTTACTACAGTTTTGTTATATATTTCGCTATTAAACATGAAAGTGAATCTACGCTTCTTTTGGAATTATCTATATGAAAATGTCTGTGATGTACGTGTAACTGAAGTCGGCAAGTTTCACAGTAACTCCTGGGTTGTCACTTTCGCCGTATTTAAAGATACGTTATCTGGCTTCATAATTCAGTTACCACTGGTTAACCTATGCATGCATAGTTTGCTTTCAAAAATATATCAAATGTAGTAACTGAATTATAGTAAGAGTGTCTAAACATACCCAGGAAGCAAAACAGTAAGAAACATTTTATGTTATGGGACATCGTTAGTGAAATGTACTTTCCTAATATCCTTTAAAAAGTAAGTCTCATACAAATTCGGCAATAAAAATATTAAATGTGAATAACTTGTAAACGTAAATAAAAGAGAATCGTTCTGCTGCACGTTACTTTAATGTAGATTTACGGTCTTACCTGTGAAGTTGCGTTGTAAGGATATCCAAACTGTGAAAAAGACATAGCTTCACGTGCTTCGACTTTTACCATCCGTAATAAATTCACCGCGATCAGTTGCAATAAAAAAAATCTCAAATGCACATTCTGCCAGACATTTCCACGTACGGCCTTTCGTTCAATTATAGATGACTTTATGAAAGATGTGCTGTGAAGACTTGTGCTTTTAAATCATCAACGGGTTCGCGGTGGAGAGATAACGCAATAAAACTGCATCAAGCACAATCTGCATAATTGTGGATTACTATACGAGGTCGAAAAGTACTGTAAGAGAAGAGTTGAGAGAAATGGACTCTGCTTTTGCTATTATTTGTGGCTCTGTAGTTCTTTAGCATTCATCCATGCAAGAGTATCAGTGTGACGTCATGGTAATCCTGGAGCGGCAGGACCAGCAAGAGTAAAATAATGTTTTTGCCAATCACGTCTAACACCACGGCTGAGGTGTACATTATAAACTCCACTTCTTTTTTTTCCTCCTCAAAATGATGTATTCAGACTGATGTTACTCTTGCTTAAATCATCAGAAAACCTGTGTGTGATATTCCCTATAGTGTTAGGATTGTTAGTGATTTAAAAATAAATACTGCTAATTAAGGACATTCATTCACCTAAGCCTATACTGTACATTATTTGATGATGTTACCAGAAAGTTCTTCACTGTGTCCTATAGCATACCACGGCAGTTCATCCACATGTAAAACTGCAATGCATGAGTCCAGATGGTGCAGAGTGAGCAGAAACTCAGCAAAAACGAAGGTGTGCTGTTTTGTGTCCCTTTAGGGGTGACACAATAAGAGGGTACATTGATTGAATCCAGAGTAATCCTTTAAATATGCTAGTCTGTACTTTGACCTGGTTTAAGGCCAGTGGTGTAGAGCAAAATGAATAGTAGGCCTACTGCTAATAATGTCAATTTTTATGAGGTTAATGCAGGGAAACAACTGAAGCAGGCTGCATCTGAAGTGGTTGACAGGTAAATTAAGGGATAATTGTTGTCTTTTGACCACTGTGGATGATAAACAATTACATCATGTAACTACATTTTTAAATTGCAGCTTTAGATATCTGTTTATGGGGCTCCGAATGTTTCTTGAAATTACAATAACAGAGATTAGAGTATTTATTTAGTATGACTAAGAAATTTAGCAGAAAGTATTGAGGCCATTTGATCAACCAATCATGTAATCTCTGTAACATTAGAGAGAAAGCAAGATCGAATTAAAGAGTGAGTAGGTAAAAGTCAATTTTCTCCACTGATCCAGATGATAAAGCATTTAATCTGTGGGCTCTACCCAGGAACACAGCTGGGTGAGCACATATTAGAACGGTTTAAATGAGCGTGTGAGGTTGTTTTTTGGAAATTTGGAAATGTATATTCCGGATAAATGCATGTAGGCAAATGGCAAATTCAGTATGAAAAACAATGAATGTAAGACAGGCTTTATAAGTCGTTACTGTTTTCTGGTGATTGAATGTATATTGGGGGTCGCATGTAGTATGAAAGTGCTGCTACAGTATCTAACTCTCTTATGCAATGTGTTTGAAGCATCTTAATCCCCCTTTGCTGGATTTTGGCCACGCAAGAGCAATACTGTTCCAAATGTTCTGCCGTCTCTTTGCCTCGGTCAGACAGCAGCACAATAGCCTCAGAATCTGTCTGTCATTTCAGGCTCTCACTTTGAGTGGCGCCAGAGAGCTGTGAGACCAGATTAAATGCATTTTCCCAGAAAAGAGAGTAACTGTAAGCACTTGCTGTTCACTGAAGGGCTTTTATTCTGAATTCAGAGAAACATGAGTCATTCAGGACTTTTCCACAAGTGTGTTGACAAGAATTTCGCGTTAGGCTGGTCATTTTGAAAACAAAGATGAGTTGATGCGTTCGGTTAGTAAATGATACAAGTCAAAGGTGATGATATTTTTTACCACACATTGTGTGGCTTATTAAAAGATGTACATCAGCAAAGGGTGCCATCAGACTTATGTGTTGACATATGTGTTTGGGCACAAATCCCTGAAATTGTATTAACCTTTTATGAGGGAGTATTTTGGGAACAACAGTAAACATGTATTTGCTTTTAATAATGGAGCCCTTGAATGGGCTTACATGCCTCATGTTTTTCTGTTGCTTTTCATGGCTTGCAGATGATCAAATGCATTACCAAGTCCAGAAATCCAGTTTTAAGTATGACAGTGTCAGTATATTTCTTTCTGCTAGATCATGCGTGGCCGAACAAATGCAACTTGGCAACATGATTCATTGTACAAATAAGAGTCTTCGTGATAAGCAGGGAGGAATAAATCTCTATGACTTCTAGTCATTATGACATTTTAACCGACTCATTGGCATTCTTTCAGTAAGGTGTCCTGCTCATATTTCATTTTTTTTTCCCACAAGTCTACGGTTCTGTATCATTTTCGGCTGACTGCAAAGTCTTCGCAGGTACCGTGAAGTAGAGGGTGTCTGACGAGTGCTGTAGCCAGCACTGCTGGCAACCTTCAAACCTTATGGCTCTTACAGGTCAGAAGTTTTTACATATGACAAATAGTGGCAGCTCTAATCATTGTTTTCTATGTCTTTGAAATTCTCTAATTCCACATATACAAAATTCCTACCTGATAATGATCAATATACTTAATGTTGGCTAATCAACAAAATGTAATTGCTGTGTTATGGGCCATACTGAGAATTCCTGTTGTGCCTTCCATTTGTGATATACTGCTACTGTCTGAGACACCGGGACGGTTCAATTTTAGCACTCATTTAGCACATTTTTAGGCTGCAAAGTAAATTTTATTATGAGACTCATTCCAGAAGGGTTTAATAATCTATAATACTCTAGAGTTTTGGCACTTTATGAATTCACTATAAAAACGTGGATTTTTTTCTCCGAATGCCTTGCTCTGTTTTTTGCATATGATGCTGAAAAATAAATTAAAATAGAAATGGCAGTCACTCAGTATTAAACGAGGTTCCTCTCAGCCCTTATGGTTACTGTTTCTCAAGAAACCAGCAGTCAGTCGTTTGTTTAATATTCACACAGCAGTGCCAAATTCAATTTAATTATGCAATGCATTTTTATCGTGACTTAATACATTTCACAAAGGTTTGGTTTTTTTTCCCATAAAATAGATCTGGTTTTTATGAAATAATAAAACAAAGACATGAGGGAAGACAAATAATCTGTAAAATCTTGATGAACAATCTCATTAATGTGGATTGATATATTTCAATGAATCTCACGTACTGATTCAGAAATATTACTGAGGTTTTATTCTAGGAGATGTAATACTAGAGAGGATTTAGCTCAGTGTAAAATTATCAGAAATTGAAAGAAAGTAATAAATATTCTAATGAAAACTCACTTAATACCTGGATTATTATGACTCTGGTCACACAGGTCCTCAATTAAATCTAATACAAACTTCTATAAGCTTGTGAATAAATTGGTCACAATGTGCCTTCTCAGTAGGAAATTAAAGAAATAAAAATGTCAGCTTTTATTATCTGGTTATGCTTTCATTCAATAATGTGTATGTGCAGCATTATAAGTAAGAAAATCAGTAATATTGGACAGGAGGTTCTAAGAACATGTATTATTATTTGTTGGTTCTACAGCCCTGGAACTGAAATAACATTTAGAATTAATGGTATTCAGGGCCATTTTGGGGTCTTTATATGGAAGATTTTGGTGCATTGGGATTTTAAAACAATTTCAAATCGACAGACATGCTGATATTAACCGGGCATAACTTAGGCATCTTTTTTGAGAACTAACAGTTTGAACCCATCTAAAGTCAAAGTGCTTCCCTGCTCTTGTTGTGCTTATTTAGTTCCTGCAAATCTCCACATTTTCTTCAGAACTTAGTGAGTTCCACCACAACACGTGTTTTATCTTCCACTTTTCAGCAATGCAGAAATTCAGTACCATCTTAGCCTTGGTGTTCATGATATGAAGCAAATGTCTAATGAAATCAATGGGCAGTGGGGAGCCTGTATTCTCAGAATGAGTGTGCGGCTGCCCATCTGGCCCTTGTTGACAGTGGCTGTGTAAAAGCGGTGCCAATACAAACAGCTCGGACCAATGTTTGTTTGTACGGATTGCTTTCTGGGTCTTCGTGAGGGTTTTTGGAGAGGATCTGAGCCAATGGAGGAGAAACAGTACCCAACATGACAGTATTGTTATATGCAACAGTATGCTGGACAGTCAGCTTTTTTGCCCAAATTCCCATCCAGCTTGAGCAATTACAGTTGAGTACAGTGGGTTTGATATAACAGTTCAAAGTGCGTTTCCCAAAACTCAACAAAATTGCTTCAAAAACATCCATCTTTCAACCGCTTTTCCTTGGCTTCAATTTTTTTTTTGCCAAAATACAAATATGCATAAAGGAAAAACACAGACAACAAGGTCTTCCGCATTGTGTATATTTCTTTTTGACTTTATTGGATACCAAAGTGGGGAAATGACAGAGCAGTCATTCTGATATCCTCGCATTTGTCCCCCATGTAGCTCAGCATGTTTGTAGTCACTTTAGAACAGTGACCTGGTTGCTGAAAATAAAATATGCAATAGATAGATGCAATGGCCTGTTATCTATGTCGCATATCTTATTAAGGTTTGCAGAAGACTGTCGCCGTAGATTGTCCTATAAAGTAAAGCAAAGGTAGAACAGGTAAAACATTGATGATAGCTGCATAATTCATTGTCACACCTAGACTCATTTCCTTTTGCGGGCTGTCTCCAAACACAACCTAAATGGCTCAAAATATGTGGTGGGTATGTTTGCCTTAATTTTCCACAGCCTCCTCCTCCCTGTCAAAACCTTCCTCTTAATTGTGTTTTATTGTTATTTTTGTGATGAAATGTTCCCCTCCTTGTTCTTGGTTAGGCATGTGTAGTCGGGGGGGGGTGGGGGGTGCTGCAGTAAATGAGCACCTGCTAATTTATATCCAGACTATTTAATGTGAACTTGTGCATGAGCTTTAAAGGTACTGAGTGTTCATTTTCTAACCTTTGAGTACCTGCCCCTTCTAAGATCTCTGCACAGCCCTGTTCCTCGCCAGTGGCTCTTGACCATTATTGTTGTTTAAGGCTCATTCTTGCCTAATGCATTTACTCGCCTGCTGCTGGAGATGCTGTGAGAGACTGACCTTGCAGAGGGGCCACAGTAACTGAAGTCTGTGTGGTCAGCTGACCAGAAACAGAAGTGAGATTTTATGAAAAGTTCAAAATTACATTAAATATCCAATAGACTTCAAATATGGATTTTTAGACAGACATGCAGTCCTTGCTCTATATGTTGCATTAATAATGTTTTGCTGTATAAGCTTAGACAAGAAATAACTTTATTTATTGCTAAAGTTTTGTTCCACATATGCCTTTCTTCAAAGCACAGAAACGGTGTTTAATTCATGCTACACATTTACATTTACTATGCAAACAGGCTGATGCTACAACCAATGTAGCATAACAGGACAAACATTTTGAACTACAAAACTTATCTAGACAGCCACATCTGTTGCCTACATCGTAATAAGAAATATAGCCAGTATATGGTTAGATCTCTAATTCTCCAATTGATTTTACAGAGCAGTTTGATGCACCTGCAGGTCTATAGGTAGAATTCAGGTATCCTCCTGCAGTACAGTAAAATGCAGTGAAGTGAAATGGTTTTGGTGCATTTCTTTGTAGGTGCGATGGATTGCCATCCTGCCTAGAGTGTACCCGTGTTTTGTGGTCCATGGTTTTCTTTTGAGACCTGTAAAACAAACAGACAAACAAACAAACAAACACAACCAGGCAAATAAATAAATACACTGCATGTGTGTGTGTATTTATATGTGTATATACATTTATAATACACACACTGACTGGCTACAAGTAAATTTATACAGAGAGAAAAAGTTACGTTAGTCTGTCACAAAAAATAAAAGAAGAACATTTGATTATTAGTGTGTAAAATTATTAGGTCATCAGAAACTAATAGGATTTTTCTCTCTTCAACATCAACAGAATTAACAATAAAAAAACATTTCAGTTATTCAGTATATATATGGAATAACAAAACACATTACCAAGTTTAATGTCCAGTATAGCCACCTTTCTTCTCAGTGATCATCATGAACCTGTTGTCCAATGAATCAGTCAGGTTTTTGAGTTGATCACATCCTATATTAGCTGAGGCAGCTAGGACCACGTCCCAGACACTGCTCTGAAAAGTGTACTGCTTGGCACCTTGGTAGATCTCACACTTTAATAAGGCTCTGTAGTTCTCAGTGCGGTTAAGTCAGGTCATAATCACATTTCAAGCTGTTCTTGGCCAATCTATGGAATACGTTGATGCATGGGATGGGGCATTGTCCTGCATGAATATCATGATATGTTTGAAAGCTGCTCACTTCTTCTTGTACCAGTGTGTAAAAAGGGTATCTTCTAGTAAATTGGCAGTAGATCTTCTACTAGATGAAAGGTCTTACAAGTTCATCACTGGTAACTGCAGTCCACACCAGCACTCCTCCACCACCTTGTCAGTGTTTGAAGAAGATGTCCATCCACAGGTCCATTCATCTGCTCCACCAAGAAACACTCTCATCTCATCTGTCCACAAAGTGAGACATGTTCATACCCATTCATGATGTTTTAGCTTGAGTGTCTTACTGAATGGAGCTTGTGTTTCAGCCTTTGTGACCATAGCAGTGTCACAGCACACACTGCAACACTGCACCTAGTACTTCAGGAGATTATGTTCAGATTGCAATTTTGAAAAATGTAATTCTAAAGAGTTTCTGGGAGTCTCCTCTTTAATTTGACACAAATTAAAGTTAATTTGGTAGTTTTATTCTCTCTACATGCTTCTTCCATCTTGTTTGGCTGTTGCACAGTGATCACATTTTAAAAGTTTGGCACTTTCGATTGTTTTACATCCCTCCAACTGGCACTTTACTATATATTTTTTCCGCTTTTTGTGAAGTCCTTTTTTGACTCATTTTAATGATAGTAATAATTTGCTTAATAATTCTTCACAGAGAAGTATCTATGGTTTCCTGTTTTACTTCAAACAGAAAGTACTCTGAACAAATACTGAACATGCCCTATTCTTAAACAGACCACTCTAAATGAGAGATTAATCTGGACTGAAATTACTGGTCAAAAGAGAAGATAGAAGCAAAATACATACTTGCCAAATAATTCTCCCAATTAGGAAGGAATATGAAGGATATGTGCTGTATACATAGTAATAACTATTAGTATGCATGGGCAAGATTTATATTACTCATTACCTATTTATTGATAAGATGTGTCGAGTGGGTACATGATAGTAAAATATGATTAAATGAAAACAGTTACAGTTTGCCATATTTTCAGTGATAAGTGTAGCTATACTGAATACTTTAAGAGTCATAGGTTTATGTGTTTAGATTATGTAAATTTAGCAATGGTCTTATATAAACTGTATATATGAAGTCTTTCTGAAATACACTTCATCTTCCATTAGGGAGGCATGAATCTGCACCTACTTGCTTGACCGATGTGCCAGACTGCACTGTTATAAATTAGCAGTGGCAGTATGAGGGTAGTTAGACATATTTATTTGAAGGCAGCTGAAGTAGTTAATATGGACTAGAATGTGTATCTGGGTCGGATGGTCGGTGAAAAGCATCAGATGTGCACAGAGCAACACTGACTATATGAGGTTACTGATACAATGTTTTCTGTAAATGCCTGTTTGGCCGTGGTGACACCAACGTTTTTGGCTGCGTGGCAGTGTTTGTGCTGAGGTAGGACTGAAGGCAAAGAACTGATTGAAGAACTTTGGAGCTTAAAGAATCAAGGCATTTATTGTAAGGAGAGAGCTGGCAGGAGGTCAGGAACCACGTCCTGGGGGAACCCCCCCCCCCCCCCACAAAGGGCCTAGGCAAAATCTCACCGAGCGACTTGGTGGAAGTGGTCAATGTGGTACAGTACTCTGCTGTTAAGACCATTAACAGCAGCACACATTTAAGGGTTTTGTGGTTCACTATGATAAATGCCACGCCGGTTTGAGCAAGATTGAGGAGGCTGATAAAGCCATAGCTAAGAGGAGATCGACTGTCCAAGCCAGAGAGCGGTGTAGTCTTGCTGGAATGCAACACTGGTGGGGCTCCAGCAGGTTATTCTGAGAAACAAAGTCAAACTATTGTTTAAATGCAGAGCACTCAAGGGTTTTAGAGAGGGAAAGGAAGGGGAGGTGCGGGGATATTTTTATACAGAAGATAGGTCAAGGGTGGGCTTTTAAAGGGAGGCTGCAATGTGATGTTTGAAGGCAGCAGGGAAGTAACCACAAATGAAATAGGTGTTGAGGGTAGAGGAGATGAAGGATGGGGTAGGAGATGAAAGAGATGGCACTGAGGGGAGAATCAAAAATACTATAGGATCTGAGGAACGTGTGCTTATTCTGCAGAATGGGAGAAGGTGCTGGACTCTGGAGATGGTGAGAGTGGCGATGTCGGAAATTAGTTGGTTTTAAAATATTTAACATTACTTTCTCAGTTAATGTGTTATTTTACCTTTTGATTATTCATTTGGCAAGGATATCAATTCCTTTTTTTGTGTGTCACTGTTGATCTTCAGGGTCTGGCCAGAATATGACCCCGACATAAACACCGCCCAAAAAGCAAACCTCAGCCTTCTTCCTGAACATACTGACAAACATACAGCATGTCGGGGTTCTGTAATTATCAGTTCATTTCAGCTTTTTCCTATGTGCTGTGGTGGTGTTGCTGGCCTGAGATGATGTCAGAGGTGCGATGTAATTTCCAAATCAACCGCAGTCTGTCTAATTCATGTTACAGAAACCTTGATTGTATTTTCAGACAATAAGACCATATCTAAAACCAAGAGTTTTAAAATAGATTGGCTACATCAGAAAAATAATTTTAGGCACAGTTGGGGAGGGGGGCATTTGTCTTTTAAAAAATTTTGAACATTTATATAAAAATCATTATATTAATACAAAGTCCAGTGACCCAGTTCATGATTAGCAGTTTGATGATAGGACAAGCAGCTTTGGAAAATGAACTGCAACTGTAAGCAGATTGCAATAAAGATTTAATGAACAAATGTGTCTTGCATTGCATGTAACTAGTATATGTTTTTGAAATATTTAAAAAAAAATGTTTAAAAGTAAATTAAATATTTAAACACCAGCATGTAAAGGAACGTTTTTGGATATTGGCAAACTACAGTGTAACATTAAAGTACTGGGCTGGCCTTGTGTGTCTGTGTGTTTTTCTTAACCCTTTCTTCTGTTTTCATAAGGCTTGTTCCAAGCTAAAATTAAAAAATGCAATGAAAACATTGTTCGCATGTAGTTTTGTTTCCAGATCCGTGTAAGAACACATTGTTTAGTATATTGCCAAAGGTCTTGTCTTTTTTGCCAGTGGTCTAACATAAACATTGTAAAGTCTTTTTTCATATTGGTTTACTGTGTGGTACAGTGTGACTCTCTGTGGTGGTATATTCTTGGTTAGTGTGGCTATAAATACAGAGATTTGTTATTACAGCATAACTTCATCCTGTAATTCATATTCTTACTTTGCGTTCCTCAGACCTTAGAATCTTCCTGGCTCTGGGTGTCCTGTTTTTCAGCTAGCGGCATTTCCATGTGTCGCCTTGACAACCACAGACCACTCTCTGGTTTGTCGAGTCAGATATGACAAAATAACGCAGTTCTGCTACTGTGAATAATAATAAATTACTGAACATCAGTGATGTTCCAAAACACAAACATCTTGATGAGACACCAATTGAGTCTCGTATTTCAGAGCGGCGCTATGTGAGGTATTCTGATATTCTGGAATGGAAGGTATGGCATCCATTAAAGTTTGAGCGCCTTGGAAAGGTTAGATGGACCTCTGAAACGCGAGAGTAAGACTCCAGTCATCACTAATTCATCAAAGCACATCCCAGAATGAAGGTTCCCCGAAGGGCACCATTCATTTATGTGATTTCAACTAAAACTATTCATTGCAAGTTCAAAACAGTAGAAATGTTTACTTAAACGAAAAAATTGGTGTTATTTTTAAAAGATTTTAAAGTGTTAAATTACAGTAGCATTTCATATGATTTGAGGGACAAATCTCATATTGTGCATAACAAGAACAGAACAATTGCATTTGTGCTTATTTTGATTATTAATCCAGTTGTACTGCTTATCCAGTATGGTGTGCAGTAATCTGGACCTTATCTGAGACAGTGAGGACTATTGGGCAGGGTTAGCCTCCTGTATGTTCCAGTCCATCACAGGACATTTTTCCTCTCTGTTTCTGGAATAGCTAGTTAATCCCAAGGTCCCACACTCAGCCAACGAAGTCCATGCCATCTCAGAAGGCATTAAGACAAGTAGCAAGCAGCTCCTGTGATTTGTGATGCTGTAGGCTTCATCAGGACCCTGCACGTATCCAGTTGACACTAAGCACCATCTCAGAGCGACATACAGGCAAGGAACCAAAATATGTGATGCAGGGAAGTCAATTCGTAGGGATGGTTAAGGTGGCAGAGAGGGGTTGAAAATCCACTTTGTTTTGGCCGGAGTGCTGCTTGGGAGGACTGTCATGATTTGCAGTTTATGGAAACATGTGGAACCCTAATTTCTGGGGCCAGTTTGCTTCTCTGCCCTGTGTCGAACACCCTCCCCCATCCCTGCAATCCTTCCTAAAGCTTATCATTTTGCATGTTTCTTTTTCTTCCTTCACTTGCCACTTTCCCGTCACACTTCCTCCTGGTGATTACATAGTGGTTCACAAGCTTTCACCATGACGCTGCCATCCGTGATGAAGCGTGGTATCGCCGGGTTCTGATAAGGCCTCATCCGTTCCCTGAAGCGAGCTGACATGATGCAGATGTCTTTGTCTTTATCTGTTTGGATGGCCTGGTCTGTGACGAGAACTAGTGGACAAAATGAGAGATACAGTTGAATATAAAGACGTTTAAACAGACAATAAACGTGTGAATCATGGTCTGGATTGGGGCCATTGGAGATCTTTCTCACACTGTCACAGTTGAGTTCTTAATGGAGAGGAGAGCAGACCTTCACCTCTCCGCAGTTCTGTCAGCTCTCCAGCCTGGCGGTGGAAAATCCCATGTGATGGTCAACGTCTCTACTAGATGATGCGGATGTTCTTCAGACACGGTGTGCTGCCGTGCCTGAACTATGCTTCCTGTTGTTAGATAGCAGGACTCTGCTTTCTGTCAGGGTGTATTCCAGTGCAGCACCCTGGGGGGGAATCGCTCTGTGGGAATGCAGTGATTCCTGGGAAAAAAAGAAACAAAAACAAAACAAAAACAAACCGGGAGCTTGACTCTCTCCCAGAGGATGAGAAACAAAGGTGTGGCAGCGAGTCTTCCTGTGCTTCCTGTGCTTCTTCCACAAATCGATGGTCTTAATTGGTTAGTGCTTGTTCTTGCGTGTTAGTTTCATCTACTGAATCTTCTTCCCCTTGCTTGTCATGCTAGCAGAAGCCATTTTAATGTTACATGACCCACGAATACCGATCACGTTAATGTCAAATGTGATCAAACGTACCGCTTGCATTGGCTTCGCAATTGAGTGCCTCAAAACGACCTGGATATTTAGACTCGGTGAACTGAAAGCAGGGAGACCCAGATACTAACAGGACTGTCAAAATAAAATAAAAATATATTGCAGTTACAAATATATCGGTGTTCTTTTTTCTTTATTGTGGTGACTCTCCATAACCACTGTCAGAAGCAAATATCTTTATATCTAGAAGCCCAATAGGCCATTGTAACACATTTTAATGTCCACATACTTGTCATTTGGTCGTATTAATGCTACAGGCTGTCGAAAGCGTGGATCTTTCTTAAATTATGGCTGCATTTTTGAGGCTTTATCTTGGAAGCACGTCTCTCTTTTGTGTTGTGTATCTAATTTAATCCTAACCCACAAGGTGATGCAGCTGGTGTGGCAGCCTCATATTTCAGACACAATAAAGATTTCTGCCTTTTTCTGCTCCTTATTTCTGGGCTGACTTGTCACCGGTCTGTAGCCTGCAGAAGCCTCCCATGTTGCCGGGGAAAAGTGATCATTCTACTTCTTGTTCCGGAATGTCAGTCAGTGGTTTGGATAAGGAGATGCTTCTCTCTGGAAACTGTAGAACAGTGTTTCCCATTCTGGTCCTTGGGGACCCACAGACAGTCCACTGGCAGGGAGCTCGGAGGGAGCAAAAACATGGACGACTCTGGGTCCTTGAGGACTGGACTGGGAAACCCTGCTGTAGAACATCATGACTCTCAGCCGTTCCTCGACATTTATTGCACATGCCGCCTCAGAAAGGCAGATTCCATCTTCAAGGATCCATCCACCCTTCTGGAAAGTGGTTCAGGACCATAAGAACATAAAGATCAAGATTCAGGGACTGTTGTAAAATTTACATTTTACTTAAATGCTAATACAGCAACACTGTCACATAATGTAACTACTGCTGGAATCACGTACCAATGTATCTCACCTCGTGGTAATGTAGCACTACAGGACTACTTGATGTCTAGTTTGTTGTTGTTGTTGTTGTTGTTATTTAGTGTTATTTATAGTTCTTTATATGTCTGTTGTCATGATTCTGTGGGTTAACACGCATATGATTTCACTGAACTTGTTATACGTGACAATAAAACTTTTGAGTCCCTTTTGAAACCCCAGTAGTGGCTAAAAAAACATTATTGGTATTTAATATTTAAAGACAACCTGGCCATGCAGTGTCTGAAGATGCTATTTTATATTAATAAGTTTCTGCTGTTGTTATTGTTACTTTTTGACAGCTCTCTCCTGCTGTTTCTCACCCAAAACTCACCACACCATACTTTAAGAAATCCAATATTCCTCTGTCGTCCTGACTCTGCCGGAAAGTCATCTGATATTCCAGCTGTATTTCTCCTCCACAGTGTTTGTGTGTGTGTGTGTGTGTGCTTTTAAATGCATTTTTAGGCAATATCCAAGGAAATAAATAGCTTGGAGTCAAATGTCGTTTGTATTAAGGTGTAAGTGGAAAATCTCTCTCTTAAGACTGAGGCACATTAAGCTGAGATGCTGTTTATGTTCAGTGGAGAAAGAGAAGCCTGCAGTTTTAATAAAAAATACTTTTTTACAGTAAATTTTAACAAGATATTGCAGCAATACAGCACATGGGTATATGCTTCATTGTGGATGATCTTTCTATTCAGTTTAATGTCCCTTTGCTGTAGATCTCCTCTTTCCTGTTTGCCTTTGGATTTTCTTAAAAAGATTTTTGATATATTAAACTACTAATCATATCATTATTGTCTTCTGTTCTGCTTTTATAAGATGGTGTCATATGCCTCTTGCATATGTCCTTCCAAACAGCTGAGTTCTGTGAAAGATTTGGATGTTTTGACCAGATTGGGCCTGTTCTCTGGGATTCTGGGATATGACTGTTCCACTCCACTCTGTCCGGACAAACTGGGCGGCCTGGCCAAAGTAGAGTGAGGCAGTATGTCAATACTGCTTATATGAAATACACAGCACTGTCCATTTTTTTGAAGCACGAATAACCAGCAATTCCTTGCTCTAGGGCACAAAACCCACACATTGTCAAATAATGACTAATTTATTTCAAAGTCTAAGCCTTAATA